TCTCTTTCTCTGTCTCTCTCTCTCGTTCGTCTCTCTTTCTTTCTTCTCTCTCTCTATCTCTCTCTTTCTCTCTCTCTCTCTCGTTCGTCTCTCTTTCTTTCTTCTCTCTCTCTATCTCTCTCTCTCTCTCTCTCTCTCTCGTTCGTCTCTCTTTCTTTCTTCTCTCTCTCTCTCTCTCTCTCTCTCTCTCTCTCTCTCATTCTTCTCTCTTTCTTCCTCACTCAGTCAATCACTTGTATTGGGCACTGTGTAGATAATCGACTCGATCATGGCGTTGTTCCGCGTCGACTTCTGCGGCCGCGGCGAGCTGGCTGAGAGACAGCAGAAACTTGCTCAGATGCTTTCCAGACTACAGAAGATATCCGAAGGTAAATTGAATCGCACCAGCAACGTAGATGGGGGCAGACAGCGCTGGGACCGAAAGGGAAAGAGAAAATATAAACGGCTAGTTACTCGAGTTTTGAAATCAACTTGAAATCATTTGCAGATTAAAATTGTGTCAGTGCTTGAGGCTTTCACACGAATAAGTCATACTTTACTCTTTCCGCACAGTAAAAAGCTCGTAATACTGTCAGTGAGTAGCGGTAGTACAACATCACTCTTCGTGGGAACTAGACAGCCTTTCCATCACTACTTGAGAACAGTTCTTGATTGGTTGCTTACGTCTTCCAGAATACAATATAGCCGTGTTTATAACCAACCAGATGACATCAGATCCAGGAGCAACTATGAGGTTATATGAATATCAATGCTCACTCTTCCCTTCATGATAACCATTGTCATTGACGTCCTCGATATAGTATTTACAAATACTTCAATGCTCACGACCCTCTCTCTCCTGTTTACGTCACGGTATTTACAGGGAGTTTTGTCTGTGAGTTTTGCAGCTGACCCGATATATATTGTCTGTATGTTGACCACATCAAACTTACACACTAACAGAAAGTGCTTTACAATTATCCGAGCTTCTCGTGTCACATTCTAGTTTTGTTGCCGATCCGAAGAAGCCCATAGGAGGTCACATTCTGGCACACGCGTCGACTGTGAGAATCAGCTTGCGGAAGGGTCGCGGGGAATGCCGCATCGCCAAGATCTACGACAGGTGCGGAGAGTCTGTTAACACAGCACACTCACGATGCGGGTTACACCGATTCACTTACACATAACCACTCCTGACATAACCCCAGTCAGCCATGGTGATGGGAACAGGTAGCCAAGTGACATGACAGACTATGTTAGGAATTTGATCAACATTTCATTTAAATTATTGACACCGAGCTCTTCCAACCATATGATCATTTTCGCGTGGTTATAATAATTCAATGAAGGATAAATGAGTTTATGATAAAAAAATGATCGTATACCTTCACAAATCAAAGACACACATATAAGCCACGACAATGTGGCAACAACTCTAAACATGCACATCTGTTTGCGTAGTCCCGACCTTCCAGAGAATGAAGCTACCTTTGCGATCACCACTGGTGGCGTAAACGATGCGAAAGAGTAGACAGATTCATCGCTCTACAGTAGATGTCTGCCTACGCCACTCCCACAACACACGCGATATCTAGTAACATCCTGAAATGAAGCCTGATCGCATCGCACACCGTAAATTATAACTAGAGGTATTTATTCATCATAATGGATCTATATTTGCAAGAGGTTTGCAGTTTTTCACGTTACTCATTGCTGTTATAATTATTATTATGTACTTTGTTATTACTTATTTATCCTGCAATGACTGGCGTTTTCGTTATATTATGGTAAGGTCATATATTTTTATATCCAACCAGTTTGTACTTTAAATTATGTGCAATTTTTTACTTCCGCGATATTATTTGTGTACATATCATATAAAATTAACTAAGGAGTTATAAGTTTAGCGTCATTGCTCCGTTTTGTCATTAATTTAATTGTATATGTGTTCTATTGTACAGGTCGGTAATTCAACCTCAACCCTGATGTAAATTATTGTAGTTTCCAAAGCTGTAGTAATCATTTGACTATCTGGCTTGGTGATCACAAACGGGCTGATATTATTATGATCCTTGTTAAAAACATGAAATAAAACAGCTAAAACTCTTGCGTTAACACATGTCAGGTGCATATGATTTATCAGTGTGATACAAATTATCAACAACTAGTTGTGTTTAACAGTCAACCGTCTATTACATCACACCACCCTTCTACTATTACGTCCATACTAGGGCAGCAAACGTTACTGTGCCATCTAACATCAGCAATCAAATATAACCAACCTTGCGATGAAACATGAGAATCTCTACACAGCTATTGCTACTTTTTAGATGACACAGACAATCAGGTGTACAATTGTATGTTCTGCTATGAACATGACAAGACGTTTGCTACAGAATTTTTTTTGCGATCAACGCACTGGTAGAAAACTTATATGCATAAAGTATATGTCAAGTATCGAATCTCAAAATCTGTGGTTTTACATCATAAAATTGCATATGTTCGGTGAACGCACAGACCTGGTGACCTTGCACGTATGACCACACAACATCAAATACTGCTATTTTAAATTTCGCACACGGAAAGAGCTTCTACCATTACATGCATATCGAGTGAATAAAGAGAGCAAATCTCTACTACCCAGAAGCAAATCAATCTGCATACAATAAATTGCCCCCTCCCTTAAATGCACGTCTACTGGCGCATCAATGACGAAGGATTGTGTCAGGAAGAAACACGATCGCGAGATTCGAATCGTGAGAGCTTGAACCATCTCCCGCGTGATGCGTTACGATTGAGATTGCCGCACGTTGGTTTACGGGAGTCCACACCGCGCCAGGGACCTACGCTTACCAATGCCAATCGTCTCATATCGGTCGGTAGAGGCTTTTGGTCCCTTAATCCCAGAATTTTACGGCTGCAAAAAAACGCCTGCAGATGGTAGGTAGATTTTCTCTGAATGTTTTCGTAGATCTATAATGAAAAGTTACTGCATGGTCACCTTTAAATTCTTTGATAAGTTGTCAGATTCAGTTTGTTGACAATCGAATCCTATTTCACCAAATCGATGCTGTTCCCATGTGAAGGGTATACAAGATCGGGGAGAAAAATATGACGTCTATCATACATCAGGATCCGTCTGAACGTGGGAAACACGCAGCTGACTTCTTGTGTGAAGTGTCAAGTAACCGCTGACAGTAACGACTAACAGTTATCCTGTGATTAGCTCTGCCTGTGTGATAGCGTTTCTCACTGTAAGATGAAATTGTGAGGTTACACAGCTAGAGCTACCCTGCTATTGCAACGATTCGCCACAATGGAGGATATATTATATGCAAATTATACACGAAAATGGTTTCTACACGTAAAAAGGTATAATACATTACTAACTTTTACGGAGTTTTACATGTTGGGTAGAAGATTATCTGAAAAACATAAACACATGGATTACAGTTGAAAACTCTTACTACAGGTCATCAGTTTGAAGATTACATAAATCATGAGTCACACACATACATACAATACTACTATTCTTATATATATATATATAGAAAATCTAAATATTCTGCCTCTACATATCTACTAATAAAAAACAGCAAATCGAAACGGAACAAGTCTGTATGTCAATAAGTAACCATTGTATGTCTTAGAAATATGTGACCAGTGTATTCGTCCCCTTAATAATAGCATGAACTGTGAAGGCGGCAAATGTTAAAAATGTAATTTATAGTACTACACCAATAATCAATAACCTAGCCGCCACCCAAAAGACAGAAACGTCCCATTGCTACACTTGTACACATTTACCAAGATATTTATCCCGCGAAAATTTAGACGTGAGAACTGCTGCGACTCCGCTGTACTGCGCCTCGTGAAGGAGAAGCTGGTTTACGGATGCTGTACACGTCTCAACACTACGCTGCAGATAGACAGCTAACTACTACATCAAATCATTATTCACGCGAAAAATCTGTACATCAGTGTATTCACCCCATCGCACATAGGGGGCGCCACGCGGGTAAACGCCGTCGCATCTACCGCATTGAGAAGAAAACGCACTCATAACCGTTCCCTCCACACTGCTTCTGGAATCCACCCGATGGTCACGCAAACGACTGCGTGTGTCACACGTATAACACCTAGTTCTCGAGTTCGTTGCCCCGTGGCCTGGCACGGTGCTTGTTGTAGCCGTCGCCGTAGATCGCACGGTAGTGATGGCGAGAGTTAAGGATCGCCGGCTCCTCATGGCGTGTACGGTCCCACGTAGATGCCGTGCACTCGGAATCTGTACAGGCACGTATAGTCCTTGTTGCCGTGGTTGCTGAGTATTCGCAGTTCAATGATCGGATAAGCCTCCACTTCAGGATCCTACAGAACGAATATGGGGCTCAGCACACTAGGCTCCGGTACAGTACGTGCGTTTGTACCCAGAACAGATCTTAAAATACTACTGTCCCTAAAGAGACCTGCCATTGTATATAGCTGTAGATATATATATATATAGCTGATTGTGTAGACCTGCCTATCATTGCAGCGTACACTTTACAGTTGTTAATGTAAGAATGGAAGACGAAGAATGCATGGAGCAAACACGTCGTGACGATCACTCGCTCTTACCGCGACATGGAAATACTGCAGCGGCGGTGCGTTAGCATCAAACCTGTACGTTCCAAGGTGAACGCCCTCCGTCACTTTGGCGTGTTTCAACCCCTGTAAACGCAACGCAACATTATATGAAAAATCTTTAACCCTGGGTTTTTTTTATAAAGAACGAACCGTTTGATCGCCGAATGAACTTCCATAAGCGGCAGCTGCTTTGAGTAGAGCTACTATCGGCACACTACCGTAACTTTACAATAAAACTCATGAACAACAGCCCCACCCCACCCCCTGTAAGCATCCGCAACCGGAGAACATTAACTCAGACACGTCGGCAGCATTCTGAAACGACCCCGCGATCGACTTACGAGAATTTGGAAGTCTCTTGGCGCGCTGTCGATCGTACCGGTGGGCGACAGTCGCTTGTCTATGTGCTCCATGGAGAACGAGGTAGGCTTGACCCAGCCAGACAGCTGTATAACGAGGTAGCCATGACTTCCCTTCAGAGCCCAGCACTGCCCCGGATGCACCTCCGGCTGTAACGTAACAGCAACCGTTCATGAATTCACATTTATCTTGTGTTAGATCCAAGAAATAAATTCACTATCGAAATTTCCGATCGCCCTTCGGGCTGTGACGTAACAGCAGCTGTACAGTTTCAGGAGAAGACTCGCCTTCAATGTGTGCATCTTCCGATTCACACGATGTGCGGTGTGATTCATGGGATATAGGATGTGCGTATATCCCATGAATTGTCAATTCATTCATTGCATAATAATGTCCAACACAATGAGTTATGCCCTCACGTAGTGAGTAGGTATGCAAGAAAATTGTCTGGAACCCACACAGACTGGGAGACACTAAGGATATACCGCAAAGTAATAAACTTGCAAGTTCAAAGTGAGTGGTTAGACAGTCATGAGACTATGCAGGTATGCAATACATCTCTGCTTTTGATGCGTTTTTAAAAGGGTTTGCACTGGGGAGGCTTGCAGCAGAATCACTCAACTTCAACAGATTTCCTTGAATGTGATGGCAAAGTTTGGTTCAATTACTACATTTGCTTCATCAAGTGTACGGATATTTTTCAGGAGTGATATCGCGGGTAACAGGAATGTTTCTTACCTGGATGACGGATCGTGGGGAGGTAAACGTGTACCACAGCGGGATGCCAAACAATGAGATCTGTGCGGAGTGCCCTCGATAAGTTTCCGAGCACCGCGTGCTGATAATGCTGCCACCTGTAGGCAGTCACCGTAAACAATGAGCACAATGACAATAATTCGTTTCATTCGAATTTAAGCAGAGGTATCAAAATGACCCAATCTATGTAAAACGACGTGAACAATTTATGGGACGGATATATCTATGTATAGCGCTCTATGTTTGCGTCACTATGCATATCTTACCAGCAGATTCTAGAGCATAGTCGACTTGTCCTGTCTTATCTGCATTAAACTTGTCTAGTTCTGCTTGGATAATGCCTCTCACAGTCTGCAAACAGTGAAAGAGAACACACCATCACTCTGTGTATGGAAATTATAAATGTAACCATACAAAGAATGGATTAGGACATATATTTCTATAACATTTAATGTAAATTTTAAATTTTAGACAATTAAAAAATTTGTTGTTGAAGACTACCACTACCACTCGCACAGTGTCTTAGCACTATAAAACTAGTCATATATATAATATTACCATATATGCGTAGCAATGTCATCGAGCAAGGAAAAGCAAGGAACTGTAATTTATCTACACACATCTCTAAATGGCCAATGAGATTGGCTGCTTTGTTAAGAACGTCTGTGTGTTTATAACATAGTAATACTTTGATAGTCTGCAGTACAGCAGACCCAATTTCCACCCCACAATCACCTGATGCAGAGCAACCTACTGCTAATATAGAAGCCACGCACTGTAGCTGTTCTGTGTGTTGCTATATATGCTCTCTGTCAGCATGATCCCATTCTGTGAATTGACAGTTAGCACCCGTGTAATAATAAAAGCTGTAGTAAACCACACGCGTGCATGCGTGCGTGTTGCTACGTACGCTCTCTGTCAGCATGACCCCACGCTCTAAAGGGACAGTTATAAAAAAGCCTGTAGTAAACTAGGAGCGTGTGTGTGCGTGTGCGCGTGCGTGCGTGCGTGCGTGTAGCTACGTACGCTCTCTGTCAGCACAGCCTTGCTGTGTGATGCGTTCTCCGAGCTCTGCGATGCGGCTGCCATGACGATGCCCGCTGCCACCGTCTCCGCCCGCTCTCCCGCCTTCATCTCTGCTTCCGCTACCTGCATAACACGACACGTCAATGTTGAAATCAAACCTCGTGTGACAGAAGACATTCACACACCTAGTCCGCATGCTTTCTCTCTACGTTGGGTCAATAGACAAGTCGTATTACAGACAACTTGTACTGTACAAGAGGTTACAGGATAGGTTTTTGTTTAACAGCCGCGCAAGGCGAGAGTGCAAGAAGCAGTCAACTCGCACGAGTCTTGATTCTCGATACGAAACATTTACTAAAACAAGCGCCAAATAAAAACTATATATTCATTCATTATAATACATTCATATGTACATTCATTATAATACATTCACATGATAATATATTCATAAAAAAATAAAATCTAGCCTCACTGGGCCCACAGGTAGTCTTTCTACACGGGTAGTACATAGTACTTGACAAGTACACTTAGCCGGTGCAGTAGCCGCTGCTATTCAATAACACTGACCTTGACGTCCATCTTGCTACTCATGTCCTTCACTATCGCTGCGACCTTCTGCTCCATGTTGCTGTGCGTGACAAACTCCGCACGCAGCCAGTCACCGAAGCCAGCGTCGTGTCCGTGTCCGTCACTGCTCATCACCTGCCAGGACAAGATGCTGCTGCTGTTACCTCACGCTTGCTACTATTAGCGATGATAGATGTTTATACTACGTAACTAACCTACTGCTACAGTCAAGAGTGAAACACGTAGCAATGTCATCAAGCAAGGAAAAGCAAGAAACTGTAATTTATCTACACACATCTCTAAATGGCCAATGAGATTGGCTGCTTTGTTAAGAACGTCTGTGTGTTTATAACATAGTAATACTTTGATAGTCTGTATTACAGCAGACCCAATTTCCCAAAAGTGAAACACACGCACACACGCACGCACGCACGCGCGCACACACACACACACACACACACGTGATCACACACACGTGCACACACGCACGCGCATGCACATGTTTGTATCAGGTGGGAGTAACAGTACGCGTCTTCATTCCTGCAGGTTAGTATGCATACACGCGTGGACATGCGCACGTACACCTGCACATACACGATTGCTCTGTGGTTAGTATGTATACACGCGTGGACATGCGCACGTACACCTGCACATACACGATTGCTCTGTGGTTAGTATGTATACACGCGTGGACATGCGCACGTACACCTGCACATACACGCTTGCTCTGTGGTTAGTATGTATACACGCGTGGACATGCGCACGTACACCTGCACATACACGCTTGCTCTGTGGTTAGTATGTATACACGCGTGGACAGGCG